AATTTTATTAAGTCCACTTTTGCTATTATTGAAGTAATCCCATGCTTTCTCCTATGTCAACTTACTGGAAATTTACCGGACACACGGAATTTCTTACATAAGGAAATAATACTTTCACTTCTGGAACAATTCTCAATCCTGGAGGCTTATTCTTTCCATGACTAGTAAATTCTACCATGTACGAGGCCCTTCACTCATCTCACCGGCTTACAGTCGGACTGCCTCCTTCGAGCACTCTTACCTCCACACCAGATAGCAGTACCCTATCAAGGGCTTCCCTTTCAGTGTCTTTTCCCTATTTCCAGATGTGGCAACCCACCTCCTCCCCCCTTCATACCTCAAACAGCCCTGTTTCCGTGGTGAGCCTGGCCCCTGGTGCTGTCCGTGTCCAAGGTCCGTGTCCAGACCCCCAGCAGGCGGCAGCCGTGTTTCTAAAGTGTTGGGACGCGGAGCCGCCCTAGGGACAGACAACCCTGGGCCCCCAAAGTGAGGTCGCGGCAGTCCGCCCCCGGGATGGCCCCTCCCGCACCTGCGACGTCCGTGCCCACCCTGGCCAACCCCACTGACCGTGTTCACGGAAGAGAGCCGGCCAGAGCTCACAGGCTTTGTAGCAAAAGTCCGGCAGGATCCGACCAGCTGCGCCTGGCGGCGCGAGAACAATGACCGGACAGGAAGTGCCTCGAGACGGGCTTCCGGCTTCCCAAGTCGCCAGGCCGGCCTCTCTAGGAATCTCGGAGGTGCTGTCTTCTCTGTGGGTGTCCAATACGGCCTCGGACCAGGGATGGGAGCAAGTGTTTAGGAGGGTGCAGGTGTATTGTGACCCTGAGCTTCAGCGGAGGGTACATCCCCTGACTCGGCAGTGCTTACGCGAGGCGCATACGCAGGAGCCTGAAGCCAGAAAGCATTTGTCTCTAGAAAACTCTGATAATTTTGCCTCAAACGTTTTATTTTGAAATACAAACGGTACAGAAAAGTTGAAAGAATGGTACCATGAATACCTGTATCCTGCATCTGGACTCAACATGTGGCTACGTTTTCCTTCTCTCTATATATATACTGAAAAATATTTTGAAAGTTGTAAGCATCAAACCACTTCATTCCAAACACCAAAATGCATCCTTTAATAATAATATTCTCCAAACGTTATAATACCACCATTACATAATGGTAAGAAAATGAACAATTTCCTAATATTATCTAATATCCAATCATATTCAAATCTCCCCAACTATCCTAAAATGTATATTTCATCATTATGCTTTCAAATCGGTTTCACACAGTGCGTTTGGTTATGGCTTTTTTAAGGTCTTGTTTTACCTTTTATTTTTAAAGACACCCAGGAAGTTAGAAAGATAATACCCTTCCCCCAGTTTCCCTCAACAAGTACAACTTAAATAATTATTAATATAAAATCAGGAAATTGACACTGGTACAATGTTTGTGTAGACTTCTACATCATTTTACCACGTGTATTTGTGTAACCACTACCAGAATCAAGATACACTACTGTTCCAACATTACAAAGACCTTCCTAAGTGCTACCCCTCTCTCTCCCTCCTATTCCCTCCCACCATCCCCAACCTCTGGCAACCATTAATCTTTCACCTCTATATAGTTTTGTCATTTTATAATATTATATAAATAGAACCATACAGAATACAACCTTTAGAGATGGGATTTTTTCAAACTCAGCATAATTTTCTTTAAATTCACTTGTCATTGCAGCAATGGGTCATTCCATTTTATTACAGAGTAGTAAGTATTCATGGTATAAATAGAATACTGTTCTGAAGGGGCGCCTAGGTGGCTCAATTGTTAAGTGGCTGCCTTCAGCTCAGGTCATGATCCTGGGGTCCTGGGATGGAGCCTCGCATCCAGCCGCCTGCTCAGCTGGAAGCCTGGTTATCCCTCTCCCACTCTCCTGCTTGTGCTCCCTCTCTCGGTGTCTCTGTCAAATAAATAAATAAAACCTCAAAAAAACACGAAGTTTTGGCCACTTGTTGAAGCTATTTGTGTTACTTACAGATTCTATTAGATCTTACAGATTTTAGATCTTACAGATTTTGACTATTAGAAATAAAACTGCTGTGAACAGTGATGTACATGTGTTACATCTGAGTTAAGTTTTCATTTCTCTGGGGGGTAAATGCTCAAGAGTACACAAACTGGGTCATATCATAGTGCATATTCGGTTTTGCAAGCAACTGCCAAACTGTTTCCCAGAGTGTATCATTTAACATCCTCAGCAACAGACAAGACCCAGTTTCTCTGCGTCCTTGCCAAGATTTAATAATGCTATGTATGTTTTTCTTTTTTAAAACTATTCTGTTGGGGTGCAGTCATTTTTAACTTGTATTTCTCTACTGGCTAATGATGGTAAATATCTTTTCATTTGGTTATTTCCTATCTATATTTTGGATAAATGTTTTTACATGTATCTTGCCCATTATTTAATTGAATGAATCTATCATTGTTGAGTTTTGAGATTTCTTTATATAGTCTAGATACAAGTCCTGTTGGATATATATATGATTTACAAATATTTCCCCAAATCTGTAATGTCTTATCACTCTTAAAAGTTTTTTTCTTTTTCAGAGCAAATTATTTTAATTGTGATGAGGTCCAACTTACCATTTTTCCTTTTATGGAGCCTGCTTTTGATGTCAGTCTAAGAGTTCTTTGATTAGTCCTAGATCCTGACTATGGATGGATAAATGGATGGATGATATATGTCTATGGATATCAAATTCCACCAGTAGCCTTTGTTGGAAAAGATATCCCTCTTCTACCGAATTACTATTGTGCCTTTGTCAAAAATCAACTGGGCATTTGTGTGAGTCTCTCTCTGGCACTTAGCGTCTTATGGTTCTTTAACATCTTTTTAAAAATAACCTCTCACCCCCACTTCTTATACATTTCATTCTGGAAATTTTATTACATATATAAAAGCAGAGATCAGTACAATAAACTCCCAATATTCATCCAGCTTCGACAATTATCACCTCTTCCTTTTTCATATTTTTGAAGAATCCAGTACAGTTTTCTTATACAATGTACCCTGTTCTAAATTTGTTTCTTGTGGTGTCATTTATCTTGTTTGTCTGCTTCCTGTATTTCCTGTTAACTAGCAATTAGGTCTAAGAAGCTTAATAAATTCAGGTTACACTTTTGGCTTATTGCATCACATGAGGAGGCACATAATGTGGTCTTGTTCTTAGTGATGGATAAGAGGTGAATGCCAGTTTCCCTGTTAGAGTACATCTTTCCCTTTATAATTACATAATCTGTAGTGATTCTTCTGTAGCAGTGATACAAAGCATCTCCATATATATTACCTCGTAAGAACCTTGTGAGGTAGATACTCTCCTCCCTGTTATACAGATGAGGAAATCAAGGCTCCAAATAATAAAGACATCTGCCCAAGGAAAGTGGCAGAAGCTCACTTTTACCTAGGTTTTAAGACTTTAAATCTTGGGCCCTTCCATTTTTCACTCTTGTTTACCTTTGAGTCTAATGAAGAAGCATTCATTAAGGAATGCTTCAAGGAAGCCCTCAAGGAACTCCGCCTGAATTAGTAACACTTATCAACACATCAGCTCAATGCAACTATTAGAAACACAATCTGGATATTAAGGTATTTATAGTCCAGCTACAGAACTGGGAGTTTTGAGAATTACAATAAAAACTAGCTACTCAAGAATATAAGATGAATTAAATCTACAAATGTACAAAAGAGAAAAGACTGAATGAATGATTTGTTCACAGGCAGTAATGGGCCTGACCAGAGGATGGATTCTGAATTGATCTAATCAGTGCTTTAAGGAATTGGTTCTGTGTGAAACTTATGTAGTAAGTTGAGTACTGGAACAGAATCTTTGAGTAACAAGCTTTCATATGTCAGCAATGGTGAAATGTACATTAAAATTGAGAATGAAATGGCAGGAATCATTAACTCAGGGGTTGGAGTTGAGGATTTTTCCCTATAAACAAAGAAAGCAACATAGGACTGTCCTTCCATTTTGACATTCTATATCTGCCAGGCTTCAAATTTGAAGGTTGAAAAATAGTATTCCTTGGCATCAGTGTTAACAGCTGGACATAATAATGTTTTTCCATAAAAGCCAATATTTCACCATCAAAACAAACTAGGCATATTATCCATTAATCCCATCAAAATTCTGAAAACTATTTTTTAAAAAAAGTCTTCTTATACTAAAGTTGGCTATTTACCATACTTCCTCTTACTATAAATATGAATATTTTTGAAGTTCCCAGAGCCCTAATATTGACATGATGAGCAAACATTACATTGTGCCATGTTCTAGATTTTGACCATACCTCTTTTACTCAACTTCATTGACAACTAAATTATTTCACAAAGTTTGTTCACAAATAGCTTTTCACTTAATCCTCAAACCCACTGAGGTAGGTCAACATTTGACTGACAGAGATACTGAGGCCTAGAGGCTGACTTAACATTACATAGCTAGTAAGAGAAAGAGCCAGGACCTAAACCTCAGTCTTCTAATTCCAAATCTAATACTCTTAAGTTGTCCTCAAACTGCAGACTCTTGCCCACTCAACTCCATGTCTGACATGCCTTGGTCATATAGTCAACAGAGACTTTTTGTAGCAGTGATGATATTTTTAAAATGTACAATATACACCGTTTCAGAAACAATGTCCACTTTTTAATACAAAGATATTTTTGTTATCATTTACAACTACATCATTACATCTCATAAGCTTCTTCAGTCTTCAAGTGCTCTAAGGTCCCTTTCCAGAGTCATAACAAATGGTCTAAGACATAGCATTCTTTAACTAGAATTTGGTTTATGTTTTTTGTAGTCTTGAAAGTCTAGATTAACTTTCTTTCACATGAAAACTGCTTGTCTATAAAAGGGTCAATCATGAATTTTTTCCTTGCAAGGACCATATACTGGCATTTGTCTAACAGTTACGTAAGTAGGCAGGGATTCTATCCTATTTTACAAATGACATTAGATTTTCTGAATCTCTCTCTTTGACTCATTGGCATTTTGGAACCAAGAGAATTCCTTCACAGTATGGATTTCTTGTTGAAGATAAAGGTTTGAAGTCTGAGAGAATTCTTTTTCAGAATCATCACATTCACAAAGTTTTCCATCTGTATGAATTTTCTGATGTACAGTAAGGTTTTTTCTCTGCCTAAAAACTTTACTACAATCATTACACCCATATGGTTTCTCTCCTGTATGGATTCTCTGGTGGCCAACTAAATTCCTCTTAGAAGTAAAAGATTTTCTACACTTCTCACATTCATATGGTTTTTCCCCAGTGTGCATCCTCTGATGTACAACAAGGTTTTTATTCTGACTGAAGTCTTTTCCACACTCATTACATTTATAAGGCTTCTCTCCAGTATGGATTCTTTGATGAACCATAAGATTTCTACTAGAGGTAAGAACTTTTCTACATATATGACATTCATAGGTTTTTTCCCCACTGTGAATTCTCTGATGTTCAATAAGGTTTCTGTTGTAAGTAAAGCCTTTCCCGCACTCATTACATGCATAGGGCTTCTCACCAGTGTGGATTCTCTGATGCGCTATAAGGTTTGAGCGGTAACTGAAGACTTTCCCACAGTCACTGCATTTATAAGAGTTTTCCCTTGTATGAATCCGCTGATGTCCAATGAGGCTTTTCTTCAAAATGAAGCATTTACCACACTCATTACACTCATAGGGTTTTTCACCACTGTGGATTCTCTTATGTTCAATGAGGTTTCTGTTAGAACTGAAAGCTCTTCCACATTCACTGCATTCAAAGGGCTTTTCTCCAGTGTGGATTCTCCGATGTACAAGCAGGCTTGAATTATAACTAAAAGCCTTCCCACAATCCTCACATTTGTAGGATTTCTCCTGTGTATGTAGTTTCTGATGGACCATGAAGCTTTTGCTCATGATAAAAGTCTTCCCACACTCTCGACATTCATAGGGCTTTTCCCCATTGTGTAGTCTCTCATGGTCAATCAGGTTTCTGTTAGAACCAAAGACCTTCCCACAGTCTTTACATTCATAGAGATTCTCTCCAGTATGGAACCTCTGATGTAAAATGAGGCTCTTCTTTAGAATAAAAACTTTCCCACACTCATTACATTCGTAAGGTTTCTCTCCATTGTGGAGTCTCTGATGGTCAAAAAGGTAAGCACTCTGAGTAAAGGCTTTCCCACATTCAGTACATTTATATGGCTTCTCTCTGCTATGCATCCTCTTATGGTCAATGAGGTTTGATTTTGAATTGAAAATTTTCCCACATTTTCTGCAACCAAAAGTCTTCTTTTCTGTGTGAACTCTCTGGTGTAAGAGGAGGCTTTTGCTTCGAATGAAAACTTTTCCACATTCTTTACACTTGTATGGGTTCTCTGCACTGTGGAGCCGCTGATGGTCAACAAGGTAAGTGGTCTGAGCAAAGGTTTTTCCACATTCATCGCATTTATAGGGTTTTTCCCCAGAGTGGATTCTCTGGTGCAGAATGAGGCTCTTCTTCAGAATGAAAGCTTTCTGACACTTGTTACATTTATAAGGTTCTTCCCCTTTGTGGAGCCTCTGATGGTCAATGAGGTAAGCATTCTGAGAGAAAACTTTCCCACACTCATTACATTTATAAGGTCTCTCCCCAGAATGGCGCCTTAGATGTATAATAAGGCCTGAATGCCTATAGAAGCCCTTTCCACACTCCTTGCATTTATAAGGCTTCTCCCCAGTGTGGATTCTCTGATGGTTTAGAAGGTAAGCACTCTGAGAGAAGGCTTTCCCACATTCATTACATTTATAAGGTTTCTCCCCAGAATGGTTCCGTAAATGCATTAGAAGGCTTGAACGCTGAATAAAGCCTTTTCCACACTCCTTACATTTATGAGGTTTTTCACCAGTGTGGATTCTCCGATGGTTTATGAGATGGGAGATTTTACTAAAATGTTTACAACATATATCACATTTATAAAACTTCTTTCCTTCAGTACCTATTAAATTTTCAGAAAGAGCAGAACCTGAAGTCAAGCTTTCTCCAAATTCCTTCCACTTCTGGCCTTGTTTTTCTGGTAGAGTCCTTTTCTTCTTATCTCTTTCACAGATGGAAACTTTCTTTAGGGTATCTCTTTCCCCTGTTTTAGTTCCCCAATGACTTGCCAAAACTTGCCATTCACAAGCTTCCTCAAAATCAAGGGTCTGAGGAACACCTCCCTGAAGTCTTTTGGATGTTCCTTTCTGAGAATCAGCTCTTTGAGAAATGCTTGGCTTTGGTGTCACCTCCTCATTCTCAGTCATGGTCTCCCATTCTGGTAAAAGGAATTAAAAATGCAAATGTTACCATGTCCCTGTGTTAGTGAGAACAAGATCTTCAAATGACTTTAAAACAAGCCAGTAGGGTACATTTTTATATGAATACAAAAAGAAGATACTTTTCATTAAATGAAACCACAAAGCAGAATACTACACTGACAAGATTGTGTTTTAACACAGAACTCACTCAGACACTTCTAAGCTCTCTGTCATCATGGAGCAGATGGAAAAATATAAATGATATTGAGTAAACAGATGTAAGGAAGAACCAGAGAGAGAACACGGGATCATGTGTAGGTTGTTCAGACCATGAAGCTCAGGAAGCTGGATGGAACAGGGAGAATCATCTGGCTTATAAAGGACTGTCTCTTTATTTTCTTCCTGCTATGATGGTGGAAACTCTAATGGAGAGAAAATATACCTCAGGACCCTAAAACAATCTTTAATTTTTGAAGAGTCAAGTGCACAAACATTTTTTAATTACTTGAAAGCAAGTAACCTATAGGGAAAAAATCCACTAAAAAGCAACTTAATGCTTAGAATTCATCTATACTCCCACTATTCCTTTTAAAATTGAGAAATGGAAAACATCAGGACTGGGTTAGATTCAATTAAATACAAAAAGGAAGAGGGCTGCCTGGGTGGCTCAGTTGGTTAAGCATCTGACTCTTGATTTCAGCTCAGCTCATGATCTCAGGTTCATGAGATTAAGCCCCACAATGGGCTCTGCACTCAGGATGGAGTCTGCTTGTCCCTCTCCATTCCCCTGCTTGTTCTCTAATAAATAAATGAAATCTTAAAATATACATAAAGAAATACAGAATGTAAAAAAAATTGAAAGAGACATTTTAAAAACATAATACATCTATAAAATGATGTGGCTGAACTAGTAAACTGCCAGTCCCTTTCTACTCCACATTCTCAAATATTGTAAAATGAAAAGTTAATCTTTTTGAAATGTTTTGGCAACTTACTTTCACCATTCAAATATAAGGAGAAATTATGTACTTGTTCCCCAAATTATCCAGTAAGTAAAATAATGTGAATAATAATGGTATTATCTTCTATTAGTGGATAACAACACTGTTCTTCTAGACAAATAGAAAGAAAACACATAGGAAAGAAATAGCTATTTTATTCTATTATAAATTTAATTTATGAGAGGGTGAGGATAGAAAAAACCTAATAAATGTCAACTTGAACTACATTCTTAGGTCAGGTTCTCCAGGATGTCCCTTTCTCCAGGATTCAGGCAAGACTGCCAATCACACTGCTTCACCTGACTATAGGGATAGGCATGTGTCCTATTCAATATTGGTATTCCAGTTTCCTCATTCACAGTGATTGGATGAAGGAGTGGCTTCACAGTTTAACCTGGATGCTGGTTTCAGGAAAGTTCTGTTTAAGCAAGTAGAAGTGTTTTAAAGAAGTAGAAATGCTTTTAAGAAGTGGAAGTGCTCCAAGTGGTTAATTGAGATGAAAAATGGTTAAAAAATTAGCAATTCTTGGGGCACCTGGCTGGCTCAGTCATAGAGCATGCAACTCTTGATCTTAGGGTTGTGAGTTCGAGACTCACATTGGGCACAGAGTTTACTTAAAACAAAAAACAAAAACAGAAAGAACTACCTTAAAATACATATTCTAAATGCCTTGAAAGGAAAAAAAATGCCTGGGTGGCTCAGTTTAAATGTCTGCCTTTGGCTCAGGTCATGATCCCAGGGTTCTGGGACCAAGTCCCACATTGGTCTCCCTGCTCAGTGGGGAGTCTGCTTCTCCCTCTCCCTCAGCTCCTTCTCCCTGCTTGTGCTCTCTTTCCCTTTTCCTGTCTCTCTCAAATAAATAAATCTTTAAAAAAATTAAATAGGGGCGCCTGGGTGGCTCAGTGGGTTAGGCCACTGCCTTTGGCTCAGGTCATGATCTCAGAGTCCTGGGATCGAGCACCGCATCGGGCTCTCTGCTCAGCAGGGAGCCTGCTTCCTCCTCTCTCTCTGCCTGCCTCTCTGCCTGCTTGTGATCTCTCTGTCAAATAAATAAATAAATAAATAAATAAATAAAATAAAATTCTTAAAAATAGAGAAATCAGCAGCTCTTGGACACACAGTCATTAGCTGGTTAAACTATTTTAACCAATTTTGGTACAGAAATTTTTGCATAGAAATCAGACAATGTGTAGGCCCAGTGAGCTTTAGCAGACTTGGTGGGAAAATGTCAGACTGATAAGAGGAAGCTGGTTACTTTCTTCAATCTTTGATGAAGCCTGCAAGAAACAAAGAGGCTTCCCTACTTCCAACCTTCCCTTTTTCTTTAATCCATGTCCATTCCGCTGCCAATTATCTTTCCAATAGGTAAATTTGATCATGTCACTCACCTGCTCAAAATACACAATTCTTCATTGCCTAGAGGATAAAGCACAAGTAACCAGCACAGCCTAAGAGATGCCCTCAGCTGCTCTCTGCCTATCCTTCTGGTTTCACTTCTTGCCATTACTCTTTATGCCCTAGACTCTAGCCAAAGAGAACTACACGTGGATACCCATACATGTCATGTTTCTGCTTGCTTCTCTATCACTGTCCATGCTTTCTTCTTTTCCTCAATTGTTCTTCCTCTTCCCAATTCACTACAAGCCCAATACCCTACACCCTTAAAAATAAGCCCAAAAGTCACCCCCTCTAGACATTACCAAATACTACAGAAATAAAAAGGATTCTAAGGGAATGCTAGAAATGATTCTGTGCAAATAAACTGCACAATTTAAGATGAAATGGGCAATTCCTTGAAGGACACAAATTACTAAAACTGACTCAAGAAGAAACAGAAAATCTGAATAGATCTCTAAACTGAGTCAGTAATCAAAAAACCCCCTGCAAAGAAGAGCCCAGGCCCAAAGTACTTCACTGATGAATTTTACCAAACATTAAAAGAATACCAATTTTTCAAAAACTCTTCAAGAGAACACTTAGGAACACTTTACAACTCACTCTGTGAGACCAGTATTTCTCTGATACCAAAACCAAAGACATCAATAAAAATTTTTTTAAAAAAGAAAGAAATCTACAGACAAATAGATCTTATGAATATAGATATAAAAATCCTCAACAAGATACTAGCCCACATAATACGGCCAACACATGAAAAAAAAAATTATGCACCATGATCAAGTGAGATTTATTACAGGAATGCAATATGGTATAATACTGAAAAATCAATTAATGTAATATACCATATCAATGTAATAAAAGACAAAAATCACATAATCATCTCAACAGATACAGAAAAAGCATCTGGTAAAATCCAGTACCCCTTCATGAATAAAGCACTTGACATCAAGTAGGAATAGGAGAACTTCTTCAGTGTGATAAAGAAGATCTACCAAAAAATCCAAAGCTAACATCAAACTTAATGGTGAACAATTGATGCTTTCTCTCTAAGAACCCTTAACAAGAAAAAGATTTCTGTTCTTGCCACTATGCAACATAGACTGCAGGATTCGGCGAGGGTAGTTAGGCAACAGAAAGAAAGAAATCATCCAGATTGAAAACAGAGAAGTAAAACTACCTCTATTTGCAGATGACAAGACCTTATATGGAGAAAATCCTAAAGAATCTACCAAAAAAACTGTTAAAACTAAGTAAATACAGCAAGGTTGCAGGATACAAGATCAATAAACAAAAAACAATGGGATTTCTACACAATAGCACTGAACAATCCTAAAAGGAAATTAAGAAATAACAGCATAAAAAAGAATAAAAGACCTAGGAATAAATTTTAAAAAGAAGTACAAAACTTATACTCTGAAAACTACAAAACATTGTTGCACGAAGTTAAAGACTAAATAAATGAAAACAAATCCGTTGTTCGTATTTGGAAGATTTAATACTGTTAAAACAGCAATAATCCCCACACGGATATACAAATTCAGTACAATCATCCCTATCGTAAAAATTGACAAGCTAATCCTAAAATTGATATGGAAACTCAACAAGCCTAGAAGAGCTAAAACAACACTGAAAAAGAATAACAGAACTGAAAGGCTCACACTTCCTGATTTTAAAATGTACTTCGAAGCAACAAGAAGAAGACAGGGTTTCACTGACATAAGGATAGACATATAATCAAAGGAACAGAACTGAGAGTCCAGAAACAAGCCTCCACATTTATGGCTAACTGATTTTCAAAAGGGTACCAAAACAATTCAATGGGGCGGCGGGGGGCGGGGGGAGAAATGCTGCTGAGATAATGGATTAGGGCTGAGACATGGAAAGAATGAAGTTGGACTCTTACATCACACACAAAAATTAACTCAAAAGGGATCAAAGAACTAAACACAAGACTGAAACTATAAAACTCTTAGAAGAAAACACATATACAAATCTCCATGACCTTGAATTAGGCAATAGTTTCTTGGATACAGGACAGCAAACCACAAGCAACAAAAGAAAAGATAAATTGAAATTCATCAAAATTAGTAACTTTTGTGCTTCAAAGGATTATCACTGAGAAAGTGAAAAGACACAGAATGGGAGAAAATACTTGAAAGTCCCATATCTGATAAGGTATTTGTATCTAAAATACATAAAATCCTACAACTCAAGAATAAAAAGACAACCCAATTAAAATATAGGCAAGAATCTGAAAAGACATTTCTTCAAAGACATACAGCCAATAAACACATGAAAAGTTGCACAACATCTTTAGTCATCAGGGAAATGCAAATGAAAACCACAATGAGTTATCCACTAGGATAGCTATAATCAGAAAGATCATAAACTATTAAAGACTGTAAATGCTGGGGAAGATTTGGAGAAACTCTGTGGTGCCTGGGTGGCTCTGTCAGTTAAGTATCTGCCTTCAGCTCAGGTCATGATCCTGGAGTCCGAGGATGGAGCCCTGCATAATGCTCCCCGCTCAGCAGGGAGCCTGCTTCTCCCTCTGACCCTTCCACTTCTTGTGCTCTCGCTCTCTCTCTCTCAAGTAGAATCTTTAAAAAAAAAGGATCTGGAGAAACTGGAACATTTACATACTACCAGTGAAAGTGTAAAATGGTGCAGTAACTTTGGAACAGTCTGTCAGCTCCTCATATGATTAAACGTAGTTACCTTATGACCCAGTGTTTTATATTGATGGATGTTTCTACAATTTGTCTTGCATAACCAACCACTTAGACTGCATGTATGCAGGCAAGCTACAGAACCTTGTTTGTGAGACTCAGGTTACGTGAAGAACCTTGGAAGCCTCATTATTTAAAATATATTATCTGGCCGCCAGGTCAGAACTAGCCCTTCTGGATGCCAAGAATTATAAATCTAGCCTCACATCCCCTCCTCCTACAGGCGGGGCTAACTTCCCAAGTATGTAACCTGGGAGGGGAAGCAAACACGAACAGCCCTGGCTTCTTGAAAATAGAAAAACATGGTAACATAGAAACGTAGCTCACTCCAAACCGCACATAGGGGTACAGATGTTTTAACTTCAGACCCCATCATATCTGCTCTTTAAGTATGGCCCTTATGGGGATGATCAGTTGGAAGTCTCGCCTGAAGGGATGATGCTCCACCCAAGCCTCTCAATCTGGATTCCAGCCAGGCTGTCTCCACCAGGCTTCCCCAGCTAATGAGGTTGGAGGTTGTGTACCCGACTTAATGTAGCTTTATCTTATTTCTCACTTACTGCTTACTACTGCTCTCATTTATGTGTAGATTCCTTTCCTCTTCTGTTTCTATTAAATTTCTATAATAATAATAAAGTTTTCTTTCCTTTTAGAAACCAAAACACAGGTTGTGCATCTTTTTACAGATCACCCGGCTAGTCCAATCCTTGGTATATATCCAAAGGAAATGAAAACATACATCCACACAAAAGCTTGCACACAAATATTCACAGCACCTTTATATAGCTCAATGGTGGAAACAAAATTTTTATATTTCTATCAACTGATGAATCAATAAAATGTGATATATATACACACAAGAGAATATTATTCAGCATTAAAAGGAATAAAGTATTAATGCGCACCACTACATGGATGAATCTTAAGAACATTATGCTAAGTAAAAGCAGTTACAAAAGACCACATACTGTATGATTCCATTTATATAAAATGTCCATAGAATAGACAAATCTAGAGAGATAGAAAGCAGATTAATGGTTGCCTAAGGCTGGGGTGGAGGGGCAGCTGGCTGAAATGAATGGGACTGCTATATGGTATAAAGCTTTTCTGGGGGGTGATGAACTGTTCTAGCATTAATTGTGGTGATGGTCACACAATTCTGTGTATTACTAACAACCACTGCACTGTAATCTTTAAATGACTGAATTAAAGATGTGAATTATATCTCAATAAAACTGAGCCACCCTCACTGTAAATCTTTCCCCAGCTACCCACTCCTGCCCCACCCTCCTAGTCCTACTATCTTAAGCTTCTATGGGCTCCCACACTTGTGCACACTTTTATTACATAGCATTTGTCATGCTGTATTGTAATTATTAGTATAAATGTCTACCACTCCAACTTGAATGTTTGAAGGCTGGGGTTAAGCTTAATATATGGGAAGGACTCAATATGACCTGAATTTCTTTTCAATTCTATTCCAATCCCTTACATAAACATAAACAAATCTTTTATAACTGAAACAGTGTGCGCAAGCCATCTGAGAATCTGCTTTTCCACCAAATAGCTTATCAATGCATGGAAACTGAGAGCACAGAATTGTCATATTTGAGAGTGTCGTAATGTAACTCCATGTCAAACACCATGGTTTGCTTAGTACTTTATCTCGGGGGATTAGGGTGTGCCCAACTTTTAACCATTATAAATACTTTACTGGTACCATCCTTAGACATGTTACTTATTTTCCTCTTTCTGAACCATTTCCTTAAGCCTTTCCTTAGCCTTTCATCCTCAAATGAAAATCAGGTCAAAGGGAATAAACCCTTGGGTATCTGTTTGCTTAAGTCCCAACAATATTGCAGTTGAAGCCTAACTTATTTGTTAAAATTGATTCAAATTTCTCTTTCCTCACAGAGCTAGACTAAATAAGCAATTCCACTTTCTTCTCTTTTTTTTTTTAGTTTACCTCAGACCCATCAAGAATTTATTTTGGCTTACAGAATGAGTTATATGGATCCATGGTGAGTGTTTTTCATAAAATTCACCAATTTACTCATAAAACATTTTTAAACTCTTAGAAAAGATGGATTATTGAGTAAATAGCATTACAACTACTAAAAGCCACTTGGGTTAAAAAACAAAGAAACAAACTGGATTCATATGTCATTCTATATATCAAGATAAATTTTAGAGATAGTAAAGCTTAAACATAAAAATGAAACAATAACAGTATCTGAAAAAAATACAAGTGATTTTTTAAAAGAAAAATAATTTTACTGGGGTGCCTGGGTGGCTCAGTCAGTTGAGTGCCTGACTTTTGATTTTGGCTGAGGTCAAGATTTCAGGGTCACAGGATTGAGCCCCACAACAGGCTCTGTGCCCAATATGGAGTCCACTTCAGATTCTTCCTCTCTCTCTGCCCTTCCTGTTTCCTGCTTGCACACTCTCAATAAATATTAAAAATAAATAAAATAATTTTACTTAGAAGATCACAAAGACCAAAAACGAAAATACTGCCAAATTTAATACTATATAAAAGATTTCCTAAGGATTAAAAGTAACAGTTCATAAATAACTCTGAAAGGCAAACAAATGGGAAAAACATACGCAATACTTGGCAAAGGTTGAGCAGGTCTCATAAATAAATGAAATATGTAGAAGGGATATGAATAGAAGTGAAACATTTCACAATAAATGTGAGAAGATTTCAACCACACTAATAATCAAAGAAATGAAAAACAAAAAATAATATTTGTCTTCTACCTAGCAGAGATTTAAAACACTGACCAAATCATAAGCACATATAAGAGAGATGGGCCCTCTTCTGCTCTTTTCATGGGAAGGTAAGTTGGTACAGCATTGGTAGAAAGCAGTCTGGTAACATGTATCAAAATATAAAAACTACAGATTGTTTGGCCCACTATCGGCACATCTAAGATAGTAAAAGATACATTCCAATTAAGTGTAAAAATTTACAGTGTAAGTTACTGTGAACAATAAAATAATAAGGTTGCAACACACCCAAAACAATCCGTATTTTCATATATGTAAACTACAGTCAATTAGGAAACATGAGAAAAGATTCCAATTCCAAAGAACCAATATAACCTGAAATATGCAAGATCCAGAAGAGGACAATTTTAAAACAGGCCTGAAACATAAAAGCAGTGCTGAACAAATGGAAAGGCATGTAATGTTCCTGAATAGAAATTCAGTATCCTAAAGCTGTCAGTGTAAATCATGATACACAGACAATGGGACCATATGCAACTATTTAAGCTGACACTATAAATCTATATTTCAGCCCAAATGAGATAGTGCATTAGTTGATTCCTCAATTTTTAATGTATATTTGTCCAAACAACAATCTTTCCTTTTTCTTCAAAGTCTAGCACAAAGTTACCTCCTTTATGGCCTTTCCTAATCTCAGGAATGGTACTGGTTGCTTGGTCCTCTTCATTTCTATCTTAAAAGGTTTATCACACTCTTATACTAATTATTTTACTTTGCCTTATTTATTCTTTCTATGCTCATCTCCCAAACCATGGTAAGCTACTTAAGGGCAGAATCATTTCCACAGTTGCTATCACATGATAGATATTTTCATGTTTGTTGGAAGCACAAATGGCTACTAAATATTTTTAAATGTTCTTACTTTATTACTAGTGATAAAAGTCCTCCAGAGAATAAAGATATTACAACTTTTAAAAAATTGTATCAGCAACAATTTAAAAGAATGGGATTACACAGTACCAACAAAGGCAGAGCAAAAAGCATGTTATGTATCTCTCCATGAGCACAGAGATCACCTGGGAAAGCAATTTGATAGTATGAGAGAAGAACCTTAAAACAATTCGAACATTTAGGCCTAGTAATTCTACTTCTAAAAAAATAATGAGAAATAAGGAAAGACCTTAGCTACAGAGACAGATGATTATTACAGAAATTATCTAGAATAAGGAAATGGCTGAATTATGGCACAAATTATGTAGCCAATTAAAAAAAACTCATACAGGAAAATATAGAAAGGTAGTATGTCAAAATTTTGATAGTAGTTGTCTACAAAGACTGGGTTTAAGCTGTATTTTCTTCTAATATCCTATGCTTTCCAAAATAAGTATATTCTACTTTCATAATCAGAAAACAAAGGCTGATGAAATAAAGGTAAGAATGATGGGAAGACAGAATCCTTACCTAGGGAGGTCACATTTCCGTAATTCTCCAACATCACATCCCAGTACAAAGCCCTCTGAATCGGGCCCAGACACTCCCATTCCTCTGAAGTGAAGCATACTGACACCTCCTCAAACATCACCAACTCCTGAAATGACAGGTATGTGTGAGATTATCCATGCCCAGGAGGTCTCCTACTGAAAAGTTCCTTTCACTTTTAGTAAAGGATACATTATGAGGCCATGAGGTGAGCAAGGGCTATCAGACAGACATAAGGAAACCCCACATAGTCTACCTTCCAATCACATGGACTGTGATTTACAGATAGGAACTGACTGGGCCCCAAATACTAGGATGACAGAGAACACCTCAGCCACAGTTTGGTAGTGCAGAGAGGGCCTTAGGAAGGAAAGAGAATGCAAACCTACCTGGGGTTGGGCTGTTAGGAGCATGAGGGCCATTAATTGATTTCTTGGGTTCTCTTCCTGGGAAAGGGCAGAAGCTTCAGGTGCAGGGGAATCTGAGGAAGGAGCAAAAGCTGTATGTGAAATCACTGCTATTCCTGACTACTAATCCAAGTCCCGTTTCTTCTACAAACAAGGAATTCAGAAAGACCCACAACTCCCAGGGCTAGACAATGATGGCTATAAAATGGCTTACAAACCTCTTCTGAGTGACCTCCATGTACAGGACTGGAATAATAAAAGAACAGCAATAAGAATGGATAAAAGGTCACAGGGACCCAGGAAAGGATAGGTGGGAGAATAACAGAAAGAACTTGGTACCATAAGGGTTTCATGTACAAGAAAGAAGAAGAGGCAACTAACTGCTAGTTGTGGAAGGACCCATAATAAAGATCCCGAGAAAGTCCAAAGCCAGGATCACTAAGTACCATGTTGAGGATCCTGGAGATTGAACATCACTGCGTCAGTAAAAGGATTTTGGCAAATTTCAGTTGCTATGTGGCTGCCAATGGGTGCATGAGGAACTGCTGTTCCTGGAGTGCTCATCCCTTCCTGAAGAAGGTCCTGGTCCTGAACAAGAACTGGAACCTAGGAACAAGCAAAACAAAGTAAGCTGACTCTTCTTGTACCTCCAGAAAACAGACTCACCTAACCACTACAGACCTCCTTCTGCCCACAATCTAGAACTATGATATCAAAGATCCACCTCAAGTATCAAGCATCAAAACAGCAGTAAACCTTTGCCTTGAGAACAATGGAGCTGGCCCTCTAGCCCCACTCATGGCACCGGTGACCTCTCTCACTGAGACTGAACAGAATGGTGGAAACAGAAGAGAGATCTGGGTGTGGGCTAAGGAGGGAATGGGAAGTAATAAGTAATAATTAAGAGTATGGGTTTTAGCTTCAGACCTGGTTTTACATCCGACTTGGCTGGGTTCAATACACTCTTCTACTTATTTACCCCTTTATTATCCCTTCCTGCTCCAACAGAAGAAACACCAAGAGTCTAAACACATGGTTTTGCTGCTAGCTCGATATATGACATAAGGAAATCCAGTGAATCTTTCTCTGCCTCCACCTTCCTATCTCTCAAATAAGGAGTGCCTTGGAATGAAATATATAGCTCTAAAATTCTTCATTTTTATGATTAAAATAAAAGCCCCTCCTCGGTGCCACTCCCAAGTGTAAGTTATGTTTCAGACTCTTTATATACAAATGTTTCTAGTGGACTACAGACTGACAGAAAGAGATCTCACACACACTAGGAAATATATTAAGATCCCAATTTAATGGTCAAGAATAATAAAAATCTTTCCGAAAGTAAGTATCTCAACCCAATCCCTCAGCTCACAAAATCCCCATTAGGGGCACACAAGGGGAGGTCCTGCCAGATTTAGAAAGCTTCAAGAAAAAAGCTTCAAGAATGAAGCTTTCTAAATCATTCTTTTATACTCCAAGCTTATATCATCATTCTTAATAAACTTATACAAACAATACATATGCTTCTGTTTAGGGGAACACTTAGAAATACTATGTTCCTCAGGTTATTCAACCGAATTCTGCATTAGCAGGCATCACCCGGAGGGATAAAATGCAATCAGTGCCTTTTTGCTAACTCTGAATTAGGCCCAAGATGCCAATCATAAATCCATTTCTCCACAGATATTCTATGATCTGAAATAGCTCATGAACCTATTGTAACAAGCATTAGGGTTGCTAATGAGCTATTAATTGTTTATGAAAATTACAGGATCACCCTCCAGCCCAGCTTGCCCTGCCTTAATTCTCTCTTTCCTTCCATCCCAAAATTTTCCCCTCCCCCTTTCTCACTTTTAGTGCTGGTCCATCAAGGTCTTTTTGTAGCTCCTCTACCAGGGCCACGGCCTCCTCACCACTCCCAGGGCGATGGATCTGCACCCAGGTCCGAATCTCCCCAGGCAGAATGCTCAGGAACTGCTCCAGGACCAGCAGCTCCAGGATCTGGGCCTTAGTACGGGCTTCTGGCCTCAGCCACCGACGACAGAGCTCCCGGAGCCGGCTCAGTGCCTCGTGGGGTCCAGATGTCTCATGGTAACGTAACTGTCTAAAGTGCAGGTGGGATGTCTCCCAAACAGAGGAGCTGCTTCCTTGGAAGCTGGTTCCCCATTTCCAGGTATCATCCTTCCCTTTAACAAGACCCTCTTGTCTCAGAGCACTGTGGGCCCAATTTTCTCTTGTCATTGTTGTCATTTAAGAAAGGCTCCTCTCCAGGCCCTCTCAATTCTTGCTTGACTTCTTCCTTAAAGCCTGGAGAACATCATGTAGAAGACCTCAAGAAATCATTGATAAAGTTAACCCAAAGCAATAACCAAAATTTCCAGACCCCAGTCAGTTTCCAGTGATGAAGAGAAGCTCCCTGCATGCAAGGTTCTAGGTTCTGGGCAGTGCCTCCTCTGACTGAAGCCCCTGTCCAAGGCTCTAAGGACACAGACACTGATGTTACCCAGACCACTGTTGCAAACAAAGTTATGAAATCCCTTTAGTCTTTATTCATAATGTCTCCTCCACCTAATTATAATAAATCTTTATCTACCACTCTAATAATGGGCATCCTGGCTACTCCTGTGTGATCTTGAACAAGTTACTTCACTACTGAGTCTATTTCTTAACCTGAAGAATAGGGGTATAATAGGTCCTACTATATACAGCCTTGTGTAAAATTTTGATATTTACATACATTTCAAGTTTTGAACAGTATCTGCATAAGGACTCAAATGTCAGTTATTATCTTTTTTTAAAAGATTTTATTTATTTATTTATTTTACACAGAGAGAGATCACAAGTAGCCAGAGAGGCAGGCAGAGGGAGAGGGGAAAGCAGGCTCCCTGCTGAGCAGAGAGCCCGATGCAGGACTCAATCCCAGGACCCTGAGATCATGACCTGAACCCAAAAGCAGAGGCTTAACCCACTGAGCCACCCAGGCACCCCAGTTGTTATCTTTCTATAAACAGAACTCTTTCCTATGTTCCTTACAGTCAACAAGTAAGGTCTTAATTCTGATACACATGAGACAAAATCCTCACACCTTCTCAATTAACACAAAAAGCTAAACTAAGTTAGCTTTACTATATATACTTTAAATTCTCTGAAAATTGTTCATTACATCAATAAAAATATTCAGATAAATTTTACTTTTATTATATAAAAGTTAGGCTTGTGGCTCTCTAAAAATCTTTTTTTTGGAAATAACATTAATTTTCTCATTACAAACATAAAATTTGTAAAATCGGAAAAGACAAAACCAGAGAATAATCACTGCTATTGTTTTGTACTACATTCTTCTGATCATCTGCACCAATTTGTATCACAAGACTGGAACCAACAGTACATCTCTGTAACCTGCTTTTCACATATATCTTGTAAACATATATTACATAATCCTCATCATTATTTTAAGAGAATATGAGACCATTCATACTTAAGTACTCCCCTGTTGTTAGATATTTAAATTATTTATAATTTCCTCCTATTATAAATTAGGCCACAATGACTATCCTTGCTAGTGAATTATTGGTTACATCTCTGCTTATTTTTTCAGGAAAAATTCCCAGAAAAAAAATTGCTGGGCTGAAAGGTACAAATAGTTTTAAGCTTTTGAGAGTATAACAGTTACATTACTGTCAATGACATATGAAAGCACTCTCACTAATTTTATTTAATACTTGGACCCTTACAGAGCATGTTTATAACTAAGCAGAGGAGGCAGAAATGTAAACACAATTTCAATATAGTATATAAATAAAATTAATAAGAGGTCATACCAGCACAGAAAGAATTCATGAAAGGTTATTTTGGACTGGACTTTAAAGAAAAATAAAAAGACCATTGCAGTATTAGGCAAGCCATTCCAGGAAGAACTGTATTTCCAAAAGCATGGGAATAATAGCACATACAGCTCTATTAGAAATGTGCTTTATATGGAAAGAAGGCAGGCAGGCAGGCAGGGAGGGTACAGAGATAACTTAGAAGATTACTTAAAAATAAAATCCTTAAAAAAAATGTATCATAGAAGTCTTTCCGGTCACACACAGCCCCTCCTGTCTTTTACTGACACATGGTATCACCATACAGGTGTATCGTAATTTATTTACCCACTCCATTACAGATGGGCAGTTTTCAATTTTTTCTTATTAAAAACAATATTATCATTAAAAACCTTGAGCATACATCAATTTGCATGTCTGTAGGCATAAACGTGAAAAGTTCCTCAAGGAACTGCTGGATCAAAATTTATATGACCTTATAATTATTTTTTAGATTTTACTTATTCATTTGATGGAGAGAGAGAGTGCTCGCACATGCACACAAGCAGCAGGGGAGGGGAGAAGAGAGAGGGGAAAGCTTAGCAGGGAGCCTGACATGGGCTGGATCCCAGGACCCTGGGATCCTGACCTGAGCCAAGCACAGATACCCAACCGACTGAGCCACCCAGGTGCCTTGCAACTTTATCATTTTGATAGTGACTATTGTGTACACACTGTTTACACTGCAAGAAAATTAGTCCTTTGTTATAATGGGAGTGGAAATTTCTTTCCTTTTCTCATGTCTTTGCCATACACCTTATGTGACTTTGTTTATATTTGTTTTGCCACGCAACCAATCTTTTTCTTCATGCTCTAGGTTTTGTGTTATTGTTAGAAAGGCCTTTCCTACTCCAAGCATGAATGTAGTATTAACTAACAGGGTCAAAAATCTATATGGGAGGAATGATGGGGGAGGGAGGGCTACATCTCAAGAAGGCCAGTGAAGTTTAACAATGGTCTAAACAAATGATTAAGTTCTAAACTATGTAGCACTTGGATAAAATAACTGAGAAAAACTGAACAGATTCTTAGTAACTGATCTGAGGGTGATGGAAAGGAACTTTCAAAAAGGATTTCTATCCCACGTTCACAGACAGAAAGATTCAATACTGCCAAAGTGCTAGTTCTTCCCTACTTTATCTTTAGTTCAGTGCAACTCCAATTACAACCTCAGCTAAGTTATTTTGTGGATACCAACAAACCCATTCTAAAATTTACAGTAGAGGCAAAAGACCCAGAACAGCCAACATGACATTGAAGAAGAACAAAGCTGAAGGACTGACACCACACATGAAGAGTTATGATAAAATTATAGTAATCAAGATAGCATGGTGTTGGTGAAAGAATAGATAAATTAATGGATAAAATGCAGAGTCCAGAAATAGATCCACACAAATAAAACTGTTATTTGATAAAGAAAGAAAGGCAAGAAAATACAGTGGAACAAAGTATTTTCAGCAAATGGTGCCAAGATAACTGGACATTCACATGCAAAAAAAAAAAAAAATGAACCCAGATAAATCTTACACCCTTCACAAAAATTAACTGAGGATGGATCTCAATGTGAAATGCAAAACTATAAAATTCCTAGAAGATAACAGAGGAAAAAATTTAAATGATCTTGGTTATGGTGATAACTTTTTGTGAAATGCAAAACCATAAAATTCCTAGAAGATAACAGAGGAAAAAACTTAAATGATCTTGGTTATGGCGATAACTTTTTTTTAATATTTAATTTATTTATTTGACAGAGAGAGAGATCACAAGTAGGCAGAGAGGCAGGCAGAGAGAGAGGGGGAAGTAGGCTCCCCGCTGAGCAGAGAGCCCGATGCGGGGCTTGATCCCAGGACCCTGAGAACAGGACCTGAGCTGAAGGCAGAGGCTTAACCCACTAAGCCATCCAGGCGCCCCGGTGATAACTTTTTAGATACAACACAAAAGGTGTGATCCATGAAAAAAAACAGTAAGATGGACTTTGATAAAATTTAAAAACTTCTGCTCTGTGAAAGACAATGTCAAGAGAACGAGAAGACAAGCCACAGACTGAGAAAAATATTTGCAAAAGACATACATATCTGATAAAGAACTGAACTCTTAAAACTCAACAGTAAGAAAACAACTCAATTTAAAAAATGGCCCAAAGACCTTAATAGACACCTCACCAAAGAAGATATATATACAGATTCTAAACAAAACATGAAGGGATGCTCCACATCATATGTCATCAGAGAAATGTAAGTTAAAACAATAAGATACCCACTACACACCTATTAAGATAGCCAAAATCCAGGGGTGCCTGGGTTGCTCAGTGGGTTAAACCTCTGCCTTCAGCTCAGGTCATGATCTTGGAATCCTGGGATCAAGCCCCACATCGGGCTCTCTGCACAGCGGGGAGCCTGCTTCCCCCTCTCTCTCTGCCTGCCTCTCTACTTGCGATCTCTGTCCGATGAATAAATCCTTAAAAAATCTTAAAAAAAAAAAAAAAAAAGATAGCCAAAATCCAGAATACACAAGAACAGGACCTGAAACATTCGGACAACACCAAATGCTGGTGAGGATGTGAAGCAAAAGGAACTTTCATTCATTACTGGTAGGAATGCAAAATGGTACAACCAACTTTGGAAGACAGTTTGGCAGTTTCTTGCAAAGCTAAACATAATCTTTACCATAAAATCTGCCAATTGTGGTCCTTGGTATTTATTAAAAGGAGTTAAAAACATATCTATACAAAAACCTGGACATAGATGTTTATAGCAACATTATGCATAACTGCCAAAATCTGGAAGCAACCAAAATGTCCTTCAGTAGGTGAATGGATAAACTGTGGTTCATCCCAACAATGGAATACTATTCAGCACTAAAAAGAAAAGAACTGTTAAGCCATGAAAAGATATGGAGGAATCGTAAAATGCCTATTACTAGGTGAAACAAGTCAATCTGAAAAAACTATATACTGTACAATTCCAACTACATTCCAACTACATGGCATTCTGGAAAAGGTAAAATGTTGGAGTCCATAAAAAGGTCAATAGTGGCCGGGGGTTGGGAGGAGAAACGGATGAACAGGCAGAGCACAGAGGATTTCTAGGGCAATCCTAGTATTTCTAGGGCAATATAGTATTGTCTGTACAATACTATAATGGTGGCTACATTACACATGTCATTTTACATTTGTCCAAACCCATGGAATGTATAACACCAAGAGTAAATCCTAATGTAATGACTATAGAATTTGGGTGATTATGACATGTCAATCAAGGTTCACTGATTTTAACAAATGTACCAGTCTGGTGGGGGATGTTTTTAGTGAGGAAAGCTATGCATGAATGGGGGGTAGGAAGTGTATGGAAAATCTGTTTTCTGCTCAATTTGGGGGTGAAACTAAAA